CTTATGGAAAGAACTTGCATGACATATTTTATCCTACCCTACCATGGCAGCGGGGTCCTATTGGAAACTAAGAGATATTAAGACCTCCTTTTAATAGAGAACTGGAACAAAGCATTAACACACGACGAATACATGAACTCCTCAAACTACGGTCTTCATCGGGAAGTGTCCCGACTATTGTCACTCCGGGGTTGCCGGATCATAACACGTAGTAGGTGACTATAACTTGCAAGATCGGATCTAGAACATGGATATAATGGTGATAACATAAACGGTTCAGATCTGAAATCACGGCACCCGGGCCCAATGTGACAAGCATTAAGCATGGCAAAGTCATAGCAACATCAATCTCAGAACATAGTGGATACTAGGGATCAAGCCCTAACAAAACTAACTCGATTACATGATGAGTCTCATCCAACTCCTCACCGACCAGCGAGCCTATGAAGGAATTACTCACTCCTGGTGGAGAGCATCATGGAATTGGTGATGGAGGCGAATTGGTGATGACGAAGACCAAAGATTCCCCTCTCCGGAGCCCCAAACAGACTCCAGATCTAGCCTCCTGATGAAGAACAGGAGGTGACTGCGGCTCCGTCTCGTGAAACGTGATAATTCTTCCTCCCTCATTTTTTTTCTGGAAATATGTGATTTCATAGCGCTGGCTTCAGGGTCTGCGGGGCCACTAGGTGGGGACAACCCACCTAGGCGCGCCTGGAGGGGGGGCATGCCCTGGTGGGTTGTGACCACCCAGGTGCCCCCTCCGGTGGTTTTTGGCTCCAGAAATTATCTTTTATTGAATAAAAATCCTCGCAAAGTTTCGTTCCAATCCGAGAACTTTTATTTCTGCACAAAAACAACACCATGGTAGTTCTGCTAAAAACAACATCAGTCCGGGTTAGTTTCATTCAAATAATGCAAATTAGAGTCCAAGACAAGAGGAAAAGCGTTAGGAAAAGTAGATACGACGGAGACATATCACTCCTCCTCCTGCACCTCCTCCTTGACGTCGAGATCCAGCTCCGACATGGTTACATCGCTGGCCGCAGAGAGGGCCAGCGCGGTCTCTAGGCCATCCCATCACCGCTCATCATGGGTGGCCATGGAGTCCTCCATGGCCCGCCTCATGAGGCGGCCCTCCTCCTCCTAGGTCATGTGCGGTGGCGGGGACGGGGACGGAGAAGGTGTCGGCATGATGCCGCGCACATGTCGACGACCTCGTGTTTGGGGAGGGCTGTCAGCACGAGGAGGACGCGGGCGGCGTAGGCTAGGAGGACGACCGACAAAAAAAGATTGCCACCGCAGGTCGTGCTCGTCGCGGAGCCACGTATCCCACATCGGCGAATCTATGACGTACCTGGGGTCCTCCAGCAGATCTGGTGGCAGGCAGGCATGGCGTCGGTTGATCTCCATGCGGTGGCCGCGGCCGTTCACGGGCACTGGAGGGATCGACACGCGGTCGGTGGAGAGATGCCAGTTGTTTGTCAGGTGGATATCTCCCCGCGACAATAGCATCGTCGTCTCCCAGTAACGTTGGCAGACATTGACGTGGATGTACGACCTGTCACGATGCCCGACCGCCGGCGGTGCGGCTTCGAAAGCTGGCGAAGCAGGTGGTGCGGGGCGGCGCGGACCTGCTAGAGCGGCGTCGGCCAGAGGAGGAGCCGACCTCGTGGCTGTGCTTCCCCCTGCTGATCTAATGCCAGCCCACGGCGCCGGGGTAGGTGGGCGAGTGGGGGTGCGATGACAGTGGCTAGTGTTTGCTCGTGTTGGGGCTCGAGGAGGCAGGCCGACTAGGAAGTGAAAGATGTAGACTGGCCGGTCCACGGCTTCCACATTAAGAAGGACGACGCCCCCGCCCGTGTGAATGACAGTCGGGACCCGCATTAATTTTGGACGGTGAAAGTAGGTGGTGGGCCGCCACGCGTCCCCGTTCGTTCATCGTCCGTGTGGACGCAAACTAGGCGCATGTTTGCGTCAAAAAAGAGGCGGGCCGGACGTCAAGCGGACATAAAATGGGGAGTCATAGTCAGCCGAGTTCCAACGCCCACGCTGCCGCGCTTATGGGCCGGCCCAAAACGGAGACGCAACCAAAATGGTGCGCCAGAGAAGGATCGTACCAGCGACCTCCTGTTCCAGGGAAAAACACGCTAACCAGTCAGCCACTTAGACACATGTTCCAACGCCCACGCTGCCGCGCTTATGGGCCGGCCCAAAACGGAGACGCAACCAAAATGGTGCGCCAGAGAAGGATCGTACCAGCGACCTCCTGTTCCAGGGAAAAACACGCTAACCAGTCAGCCACTTAGACACATGTGTTAGCTTACATCGTTTCCCTCTTTTCTTGTTTCCTTTTTCCATTTTTTATTTTTATTTTTTTCTTCCATATATGATGAATTATTTTCATATACGTGAACTCTTATCAAACCGATGGATTGTTTTTCATTTTTCAATAAACTTTTATCAAATTTGATGAAATTTGAAAAAAGTTCATAAATCTGAAAAAAGTTCATTGGATTTGAAAAAAATTCATAAATTTGAGAAAAATTTAATCGGCCTTGAAAAAAGTTCATTGGATTTAAAAAAAAGTCCATCACATTTAAAAAAAGTTCATCAATTTTGAAAAAAGTTTATCAAACTTAAAAAAAGTTCATCAAATTTGTAAAAGAGTTCACTGAAATATAAAAAAAGTTCATGAAATTTGAAAAAAAAAGTTCATCAATTTAGAAAAAAAAGTTCATCAATTTAGAAAAAAAAGTTCCTCAAATTTGAAAAAAGTTCATCGATTATTTTATATATTTTATGAAAACGCAAAATGAAAAATCATAAATTTGAAAAAAGATTTAAAAAACACGTATTTAATCAAAAAGGAAAAAAAATAGAAAGATCAAATAAAAACAGACCCGTAAATGACAACGAACCGGAAAAAAAACCCTGTTTGGGAAGCTTCCAGAAGCTTCCCAAAACCAAAGAATTCCTGTGACTATAGAACAATAAAAAAAACAAGTAATGTGTCAGCTGTTTCTGGATAGCGTAGTGGTTCTGTCGTTCGAGACTCAGGCAGAGATCGGGAGTTCGACTCCTGGTTGCGCACAGAAGCGCCGGTTTTGCAAACGGGCGCATAAATGTCAAATAGAAAATGCCCATAAAATGCGGATGCGGCCGCGCGTTGGGCTGAGCCATCCGTCCGGTTTGACCTAAACGGACAAATGCCATGGGGTTGTGTGTTGGAGTTGGCCTAAACTCACTGACTTGTGGACCCCACTTTCCCGCAACGATCACACGGCCGGCCCAGGGCAAGTCTCAAAAGTTGAGAAAAACGCCGAAAGACAGCACAGCACAGCCCGGCACAGGTCAGCAGCAGCCCGGCACCGAGACCGGGGGCCGTCTACCGTTCAGTTTCAGCAGCCCCCTCGCCCTCCCTGGCACGCGGACCCCGCCGCCCCGCGCCCACCCTCCGCGAGCCCCTCGTGGCGTCGCCGCCGGCACGGGACGAGCCACGCCCGCCCTTTCTCTCGCGTCACTGCAGCCGTCCGTCCCAGCCACAGCGCCTCCCCCGCCCACCGCCGCGGCCCGCGACCAGCAACGGACGCCTCTCCCTCCCAAAAGGCCAAAAATTTCCCCCTCCCCTTCCACGCTCCAGTCTCCTCCGAGTCTCCCACACACCCATCCCCTCCCCCCTCCCCTGAATCTCG